GAGGAGCAAAGCTGTCAAGAGGAGGAAGAGAGAGGCCAAAGACAAGAGAAAGGGATAAGATAATGAGCCCCTAAGCACACCAGAGTAGATAGACAACCCATCAGACATAGATTGATAAACAGACCAACAGACACATGAGATAGCGAAAAGCCCCGCACACAAACGCAACGGAGCGGACACACTGGCGCCCAGGTACACATACACACACACGGACACACACACACGCGGACATACACACATACAGCGAGTGAAAGGAACCTCGGCTATGAACGCCCTCACGAGAACGGCTCGGCATCAGTCCTTCCTTGGCCATCCCTCCCGCCGTTCCTACGCTCCTTCTGCAGTTCCGAGGATTTAGGAGTTGACCGGGACTCTCTGGAGGACTTCTTCAAGGACTTCTTCTCGTGGGACTCTATTCTTCGGAGGTGTTCTGTGAGGAGAGACGCGTGGAGACTTGACTCGGAGGATAAACTCAGAAGGTGTGAGAAAAAACGATAGTGTTTGTTATTATTTTGAGTTTGATTTCTTCGTATTTTGTGATAAGAGAACGAGCAGTGGAGATCGATTATCGTTCAGTGTTCAGTACTATTTTGGGGGACGAGAGGCGGGGGCGATGCGCCTAGTCAGTGCTCCATCTGTTGGTGAATTTTCTTCCTTTATTTCGACAAATTAAGTAGAAAATTGACCACTTCATTCGGGATTGATTAATTGATTTATGTATTTTTATTTCTATTTATTTTTTTAATAGAAGCCTGCATTCTAATACTCTTGTCGTTCGTACATTTCTCTAATTTAGCAAAGTAGGGATGATATGTACCCACTTCATTAGAGACATGCAGTTACGCCCGTACTCTTCGTCTAAATCCGCCTTTGAATTTTGCTTTTACTACTGAACTGAAAGAGATTTTTTATTGCACCGATTTAAGGCCCTTATTAAGTGTCCCGTAATCCCGTTTTCTTTATTACGTTTTCTATGTCGCGTTTATCAGGACAAACTCTTTTTTTCGTTTCAAATAAAACAACAGAAAACATTACCCTTGTTCTTCCCCGAGCAAACTTTAGATAAATAAATAGATTAATGGATTAATAGATAAACAAATAAACATGTCCATGAATAAGGTGAAGGAATGTCCGTTCTGTTTTGCTGTCTGAAGATAATCAAATGGATTTTAATTTGCCTCGATACTTTTTATAATTGTCTCTCTTTGTAATCGAAGCTGATCCAGTACACATGTTCATTTTGCTGTAACACATTACGGAATCCTAATCTTCAGGGACAGTTCGTGGAAAAAATCAGATTATCTGATTTTTATCGAAAGGAGACGATTATTAAGTGATCAGCTCTCGGTTCTGGAATGATCCGTCGGTATGAAAGGATTTTATTTATCCCGATACTTACTTCTACACACATTAATTTCGATACTTATTCAGTTGCACACACACATATACGCACTTGTACATATAAATGGATAGACTGACAGATATATATGTGTATAGGTATATATATATATAATATATATATATATATATATATATATATATATATATATATAAATGAGTGTATGGATAGACAAATAGATAGATTGATATAGATATGTTGTTGTATTGTGTGTGTGTTGTGTGTTGTTTTGTGTATGTGCACGTTGTTGTGTGGTTGTGTGTGTGTGTGTGTTGTGTGTGTGGTGTGTGTGTGTGTGTGGTGTTGTGTGTGGTGTGTGTGTGTTCTGTGTGTGTGTACGTGTTCTGTGTGTGTATGTGTGTGTTTGTGTTTACGTGTACGTGGGTATATGTGTGTGCGTGTGTGTGTGCGTACGTGCGCGTTTGTGTCCATGTCTGTGTGTTTATCATTTTCCAGTTCACTTCCCTCGTGAACACATTTACGACTCGAAATTCGTTCCACCGCTGCCGGGAGTTTCTTTATACAAGCGTCGTAAAGGCCAAGGAATCGTAACTCCTTTATGAATCGTAAAAGGCGA